TTGAGAGTTTTTCACTATAGGGCGCGTGTGCTTGCCAGACAGACAGAGAGAGCCATAGAGACAGAAAGCAAGAAATCACCCCCCCAGGGGCGATGGTCACGCTGCAATCCCTTCTCCTCCATTCTCCTCTCAGGATCTTGGGCACGCACACACATGCGCCCAGCGTGAGTTCTAAGCCACCGAGTCCAGGACGCGAACTGCGGTTGACTACGTGGGAATCCAGCGACATAGCCATTATGCTAACTGCTGGTTCCTTCATTCATACATTCTTCACCAGCTACAACCAAGTGCTGTGTCTTCCACTGTATCTCTAAAGCTGGAAGGTTCTGGTCAAGTCTTCACATGTTCCAAGTTCCAAAAAACAGCAAAATACAACATCATGCCTAACATCTTAAATAACACAGTAAAGGAACAAATAAATGTGACCACTGAAACAACTTTGAATTAAGTCCCATTTCTCTTGAGTATTTCCCCAACAAAAGTTATCTTTCCAAAACCAAATGCATTTGATGATCTAAACCCATATCAAGGTCACCAACCACTGACCATAAAAAAAATCTGTTATGTGAGGGTAAAAAAACATACAAATGCAAAATAGACGAAATGACAAGCTCTTTCCGTTTCGTGTGTCAGTCCTTCCTTACCAGTTGGCCAGAGTCCGTCAGCTGTGAACCTAAGGCACGACTGGAAGAAATTTATCACCGAGACATTGAGTCTCAAGATTTTCATATCCCAATGTTAAAAAAAGAAATGTTCATCATCCATAAGAATGCCACTTCTGGGGCCAGCAGGTAGCATGGTGGTTGAGGCGTTGGACTCGCACAGGACTAATCGCAGTTTGAGTCCTGGACCCAGCCCACTTTCCCACTTTCCTCTCTCTGTTTCTCTCTGTTCAAACTAAAAATAGTAACAATAATGACAATGAGTAAAGTTAAATAATTCCTCTTAAAAAGAAACAAAAGAATGACAGTTCTTTCAGACAAGGTGATTTGATATATCTACCTTCTAGAAAGACCTAGAAATTTCTAGTAATTGTCTCTGGCTTTACACTTTTCTATTTCTCTTGGTTTTCACCCTCCATGGTTTAGGTTTCTTTGGATTCCTCCAATGCCCTTAGTGCCCAGGCAAATCTACCTCTGGCAACTATATCCTATTAAAATTGACCTTTATAAGGCCAGCGGGTTAAGGTACTAGACTTAGACAACTGCAGTCTCAGACCTGGACTCAATTTCTTGAAAATCATACCAGGCATGTATGTGTGCTCAAAGTCCGAAGCAGAGAATGGAGGAGAAGGGATTGTGGAGTGGCCTCCCCCAGGAGGTGATTTCTCACTTTCCCTCTCTCTTGTTTCTTTCCATTAAGCTCACATGTCCCTGCAGTACCTGCAGCATAAAAAAGAAAAAAAAAAAAAAAAAAAAAAAATTAATTGACTTTTATGTTTCACAAACATAAAGTTACTTCAAATTTTTTCTAATTACCAGTGTGTGTGTGTATGTTGGGGGGCACACACACACAAAACCCTGCTAGCAGTTAACAAGTCTAACACACATTTATTTCCCTCTCAACCCCAACTTTGCTCCCAATGTCCAATATCTGATGTGATAAAATATGAGAGTCGCTTCTAGAACATTGCTTTCCTAAAAATAATTATTTAATTTGCTGTAAGGCACATGCACTCAGCAGAGAGAGACAGAAGGGGGAAAGCAAGAACGCAAGTCATCACCAGGTCCGGTCTGGACTCTCAACCACGTGGGAGTCCTGCGACTTTAACCCCCGAGCCACCTGCTGGCCTCCCAATACTGCTCTTCTCACAAGCTATTGAAATATGCTTCATGGTGACAACTACGAAGACTTCGGGCCAGCTCGCGCTGGTTTCCGACCTCACCGCCGATCCTGCTTCAAGACGACTCGCTCTTCTCTATCCGCCGGACCAGCTCGACCAACATCTCTGCCATCTTCGCGATCTCCTTGGCCTTCTCCTCGGCCTTCTCGCACCTTTTCGTCACCCTGCCCTCGCCTCCATCATTTGGGTTCTGAAGATGATTGAGGGCGCTCTCCTCCGAGGCCTCCACCTGCGTCTTGATCTGGATGAGCATATTGTCCATCTCCCACAACTTGCTCCGGTTCCGCATGTACGCCCGCCCGTGCTCGCGGGTCAGAGACGCGATGTCCTCCCGCATCTCGTTGATGACGGGCAGCAGAAACTGCTCGAAATCCTCCTCGGGCTCCAGCACCTCCACCTCCTGCGGTGCCTCCACCTCGTCGACGTCCAGGGGCCTCATTTTGTCCTGCCAGCCAGCCCTGGGCGTGTTTGCGGCCCTTTCACGACACGGCCGGACCCCCTTTACGGTCGTCCTTCTGGGAGGACCGAGGCGCGGGTGGGCGCGCGCGTAGAGGCCTCGGGAGCGCGCACGCCCCCCACTGGGGGCTCCCCGTGTCCTGACAGCGTTCTTGGGTTACTGCTCTTAGGCCTAAGTGGTTGGCCGGACGCAGGTTTGCGCGCCGCCTCCTCCAGACTTCCTTCTGGATAGCGTTTGCTTTGACCGCCCCCGCCCCCCCTTTTTAAGTAAAGGCGATTCTCCTTACCCCATGTTTGAGTAAGACTGGCCAGAGTTCGTGGCGCTTACGTACAGGTTAATTTGAATGCACCGAGCGCTCACAGCAAACCTATGGGACAGGTGGACAACTGGCTAAACGCTGTGCTTATGAGTCAGGATTTGAACTGAGAGCAGTTTGAGTCCATGGTCCCCGGTTTACCGCGCATGCTCCCTCCTCCCCACAGAGCCCTTACCACCAGAACCAAGGGTGTCAATAGCCACTTCCTCTTGCTCCCACTGCGCCCTCTCATGCTCTTATTCGTAGGGAATTTCTCTCTTGCTGGCTTGGGTTGCTCTGGTCAGTCCTCAGTCTGTCTTCACTGTAAGATCCTCGAGGCAAACGATTGCTTCTGATTTGGTTCTGTCCTCAGACTGTCCTGGTGGCCCAGCAGCAAGTGGGCCTTAGGAGATGCTTTGGAGAGAAGATGTTCTGGAATATACAAGTGCTTCTGGAGGGTGGGCTTTGGTTCGTTTACCTCTGTGCTTCCACCATTCACAGGACCTGAAAATCGGTAGACTCAATGTTGCTTAATATTTATTTAACGAGTGTATTTTGATTGACAATCTTATGCCACTGTGGAATGAAGTCTATTTCTAGGCTTGTTCATAGGATGCCACCCTAGCAGTAATGAAGGGTGGAGAAGATCTCCTTTGCCCAAGTGCTGCAGATAGAGTTTCATTTTTCCAATCTGATAAACACCAATGTCCTAATCTGAATATTTGTCAGAAGGAAGAGGCATTGGGAACCAGCAGTTAGCGTAATGGCTATGTCGCTGGACTCCCACGTAGTCGACCGTGGTTCATGTCCCGGACCCGGTGGCTTAAAACTCACGCCGGGTGCGTGTGCATGTGTGCCCAAGATCCCAAGAGGAGAATGGAGGAGAAGAGATTGTGGTGTGACCATCCCCCCTGGGGGGTGATTTTTCGCTTTCTGTCTCTCTGTCTCTCTCGGTCTGTCTGGCGAGCGCACGCGCCCTATAGCGAAAACCTCTCAAAAAAAAAAAAAAAAAAAAAAAAAGAAGGAAGAGGCATTCATGAGTTGATGTATATCAAAGTGTTTTTCAAACACCAAACCACTAGCAATTGTTCATCAAAAGGCACCATTAAGGGACCAGCAGTTAGCATAATGGCTATGTCGCTGGACTCCCATGTAGTCGACCGCGGTTCACATCCCGGACCCGGTGGCTTAAAACTCACGCCGGGCACGTGTGCACGTGTGCCCAAGATCCTGAGAGGAGAATGGAGGAGAAGGGATTGCTGCATGGCCATCCTCCCTGAGGGGTGACTTCTCACTTTCTGTTCTCTGTCTCTCCAGCAAATGCACACACCCTACAGCAAAAATCCGTTTAATAAAAAAAAAAATTATATATATATACATATAATCACTGAGAGCATGTGTGTGTGCCCAGAATCCCAAGAGGAGAGTGGAGGAGAAGGGATTGCAGCATGGCCATTGCCCCTGGTGGAGTGATTTCTCATCAGAGAGAGACAGAGAGAGGGAAAGTGAAAAATTTCTGGAAACTGGGAAGTCCAAGATCAAGGTACTATCAAATCTGGTGTTTGGTGAGGGCCAGTTTCTTGGCTTATAGGTAGCATCTTCTTGCTATATCCTCACATAACAGAGCAGCCTCCTTGGTGGTGGTGGTTGTTCTTCATTCATGATGGTGTGAGCACATGTGTGGGAGAGGGGGCAGTACTCTCCACGTGGGTCTGGTCATGCCACAGTCCCCGTCCTCCACTCCTCCAGCCTTTGGGGTCTTGGGCACTTGAATGCGTGCCGGCATGTTTCAGGCTGAGCAAGCCAGAGATCTGAACCACAATTGCTGTGGAATCTGAAATGCAGTTTCTTCTTGAGCAGTGCTTTACTGCCGCAGGATCTTGCCTCTTTTGTAAGGACACACATCGCACTCATGAGCACTCTGCTTCCGTACGTGATCACCTCCTGAAGTCCCCATGTCCTGACATCATCACCTTCGGGGTTAGAGTTTTCACACACAATTCGGCGGGGTTGGGGGAGGGGGGAACGCACATTCACACGATCGCATTATCTCATACAGTTTGAGCTCAGGATCATTGGTGAAGTTGCAGTAAAAATATCATCTGGGGCTGTCTCATCTCTAGGCTTGAAGAGGACCGGAGGACCCACTTCTGAGAGGGCTCTCTCATGTGGTTGTTGGGAAAAGGCTGCTAGTTGCTAGTTCAGGGTAACAGGCCTCACTTCCTTGCCTCTGGCTTCTCCAGAGGCTGCTCCCAGGCAGCTAGTTTCTCGCAGAGCAGGTCATTAGAGAGAAAGCGATGACATACTATCTTTTCTATCTTTTATGAACTATTCTTCAAGTCACATATAATCACTTCTGCATTTTCTTCTTATTATAAGCAAATCATTAAATCTATTATATCCCCAACAGAAGGGAATACACGAGAATGTGAACACCAGGAACAGAACCATTAGGGCTCATCTTGAAGGCTGGCTAGCCACCACAGTTTGTCCTCTGACCTCCAACGACTCATGTCCTCCCAACATGCAAAGCACACTCACCTCCACCCAGGGTGCTCAAAACATGTTTTTAAAGAAAATCATGTGGCAGAGTGATTAAGGTACTAGACTCTCACATGATCAACCACGGTTCGAGTCCTGGATCCAGTGGCTTGAAACTGATACCAGGTACATATGTGTGCGTGCCCAAAATCCCAAGAGAAGAATGAAGGAGACATCCCCGTGGGGGATGATGTCTTGCTTTCTGTCTCTCTGGCAAGCGCACATATCCTATAGCAAAAGTTTCTTTAAAAAAGTGTAGTTTTATGTATCACTACCCTATTGTAAGCATCAAGTCCAGAATTTTGTCCTCTAAATTAAGTCAGATGTGGATGAGGCTCCCTGAGTGTAGTTCCTTAAGTCCAGCTCCCAGGGTACAGTTCTTGATCTGCAGACTTTTGAAATAAAGAGATAAATTAAATGCCCCCATACATTCAATATGCAATTGTGGGGCAAGCGTAGGATAACGATTGTAGACATTCCTGTTTTTAAAAATGGAGGAAATGGAAACAAGTCGCAGGTCCATAGGAATTCTGCAGGGCAGTCTCAAGGTGTAGGAATAATTCTCCGCGGTTCTCGGCTCTGCCATCTGGGCTCTTGGCTCTGTGCTCTGAGTCAGACTTCCTTTTTCATGAAAGGTAGCATGGGTTTGCCAGTGAATCATTTTCTGTCTGCTACTGTAGAAGTCTGTGGTGCTCCAGAGGCCGGCAAGTCGGTCGGTCGGTCTTTCTTTCCTTTTCTTTCTTTTTCTTTCTTCCTTCCTTCCTTCCTTCCTTCCTTCCTTCCTTCCTTCCTTCCTTCCTTCCTTTTCTTTCTTTCTTTTTCTTTCTTTCCTCCTTCCTTCTTTCCTTCCTTCCTTTCTTTTTTTCTTTTTTTTTAGAGAGATTTTTGCCATTGGGACATATGTGCTCAATGGAGAGACAGAAAGCAAGAAACCCCCCTGGGGGGATGGCCATGCCACAATCCTTCCTTCTCTATTTTCCTCTCAGGATTTTGGGCACGTGTGGTGGGCCATGTAGGAGTTTAGCTCCTTAACCACTATGATAGCTGTTGGCCTCGAAGCCTTTCATTCTGTACTGTCTTTGTCCTGTCCAGTCTCAGGTTTTTGTGCCAATTCAAATATCTTGAAACTTTGTAGGTCTTCTGTGAACCTCACTGGGGTTCACTCTATAGGATAAGAAAATCCCCACTTACAAATTCCAAGATAAGTCAGTTGGTGCATGGGCCCTCCTGCAGTTCTTGCTTGTTGGGAGACCAAGGCAGGAGGGAGGTTGTGAAGATAGCCTGGACTACATAGCTAGACCGTGTCTCATAATAAAAACAGTGGGTGAGAGAGAGCGAGCGAGCTAAGTCTATCCCTGTCCTGGGTTTCTGCTGATAATGGTGGAGAACAAGCTCATAAGCTCCCTAAGGCCCTGTGGTTAGAGAGACTGTGAGGCACATCACCAATCTCTGTAAAGAGCTGCTGGTCTGACTACGTGGTGCTCTGAGGCATCACCTTTGAATTTTCTGAAATTTTAAAGAAGGGTATTAGTCACACCTCAATTTTATCTTTCTTTTTTCCTGGAAGTACCCCAAATAAGATCTTTGCTTGGGGGGCCAGCAGTTAGCATAATGGCTATGTTGCTGGACTCCCCCGTAGTCAACCATGGTTTGAGTCCCGGACCCGGTGGCTTAAACTCACGCCAGGCGCATGTGCGTGCATGCCCAGGATCCCAAGAGGAGAATGGAGGAGAAGGGATTGTGGTGTGGCCATCCTCCCTGTGGGTGATTTCTCGCCTTCTGTCTCTCTGTCTGTCTGGCGAGCACATGCACCCTGTAGCAAAAACCTCTCCAAAAAAAAAATAAAGTCTTTTCTTGGAAGCTACTTATTTTTTTATTTGAAAGAATTACTTAATTTTATTTATAATTATTTCTATTTTAATTCACGAGAGGGAAGGTGAGAAAACAAGCCTCCAGGTCCAGGACTCCAGGCATGTTCAGCCATGTGGAAGTCCAACACCTTAAGCACCACGCCACCTGCAGGCCTCATGGAAACTATTTCCCATTTTTACACATTTGCATCTGAAGAGACTGAGAACTTCTGAAGTCCTCCGAAGCCATCAAGGTGTATCTCCTTGAGCTTAACAGACCTTCATCTGCTGTTTTATTTCACTTAAGCAGCAAGAAGAAAGAGGGACAGGAGGTGCACCTTCATGGGGGACGGGTCACGTTCTGTATCCTGACCTGAATTGAGGCACACAAGTACATCAAAAGTTCCCAATGTACACATTAAGCTACAGGCACCTGATTGTAACCGTTATACTTCATCTTTTAAAAACACATTGGGGGACTGCCAGGCGGTGGAGTGGTTAAGGGCAGTGGATTCCCACAGGGAGGACCACAGTTTGAGTCCTAGACCTGGCAGCTTGTTTTCTCACTTTCTCTCTCTCTTGCTCTCTCTCACTCTGTCCCTCTCTGGTCAAGTTAAAATAAACAAATAAATGAATAAAGTTAAATAAAATGATTATTTAAAAAAGAACACTTTTTAAAATTTTATTATTTTTTTTAAATTTAGCTTTATTTATTATAATTTGACCAGAGAGAGACAGAATGAGAGAGAGGGAAAGCGAGATAGCAAGCCGCCAAGCTCGGGACTCGAACCGGAGCTAACTACGTGGAAGTCCAGCGCCCTTAACCACCACGCCACCTGCCGGCCCAAGAACACAGTTTTTTAAAAATAACCGGAAATTGGCCCTCGAACCAGTGAGCGCGCGCCCCCGGGAACCGGAAGTAGAGGCGCGTGAGCGCGCGCGCACAGACCGAGCGGGGGCCGGAAGGGGCCGTGCGTACGCGTGCGCGCGCGGGGCCGAGGGGGCGCGGGG